CTCAGTCGCCCACCTGCCCCGTGTCATACCAACACACACTGGAAAGAACATCCCTCTAGTTTCCAGGGTCGGCCGTCACAGTGAGGCTGCGATGGTTTGAGCAGATCTGCACGCGCAGAGTGGCCATCAAGTGGTGAGGTAGTGTAATGACCCTGCTGCAGCCCCAATGCAGTGACCAGCACGGTCTCTGGAGTCTCCCCCAGTCCTCAGCCCTCTGATCTGCTGCTCCTGCAGCACCGTCACCTCCTCACGGCACCGTCACCTCCTCACGGCACCGCTCATGTGTAGAAGGAACCAGAGGTTGAGTATTAAGAACGGTGATAATCTCGTTTCAAGGGTGTTAAAATAAGATTTATTTTTTTCTTACTCACTTTTTGTATTCTTGTCAGCTTTACACAGTCAAACAGAGAGAGAGAAGAGCAGGTCGACTACAGACAGGCTTCACAGACGCAGTCACTGCTCTGGTGCATGTTGCTGCAGTCAGTGTAGGAGGAAACTGTTCCGAATCCACCGGTTCTGCTGGAGAACCACACACAGAGACACAGAGAACAGAAAGACAGCAGAGGTGATTCAAATAACTGAGAAAGGATTCTACTGCATTAGACACTGGACGTTAACATACAGGAAAATATATGTATATATTAATGTACATATATATTACTGTGGTTCATTAATGTCTAAATAAAATGTTTATAACATATATATATATTTTGTGACAGGCAGAGCAATTAAATCATCTTTATATATATATATTTTGTGTGACAGGCAGAGCAATTAAATCATCTTCTGCTAGGTGGCAGCAGATGGCTATTAAAAAAAATAAATAATCAGAGCTATTAAAGAAGATCTCTAGCGTGTGTCTTTCTTCAATTCCTGCCAGTATATCAGCATTGTTTTTATCTAAACAGACTGAGATTTTAGTCAATTAAACTTAAGACTATTATGTTTCATTACATATACTTATACTTTACTTACTTTTTGTGAGATTTTTGTTTGGTTTACACACCTGTTCTGAGTGGCCGATTAAAACAAAAAGTTGGGAAACATTGCTTTACACACCTGTTCTGAGTGGCCGATTTCAACGCCTTTACCTTTAAATGATAAGGATGCACTGCATGCCCCGCCCACCTTTTCTGCCGGGGCAAGACCAGAGGATGGTTTCACATAACCATAGCAACACATGAACAGGTAAGCACTAATCAGGAACATTTCCACATTTTCCTTTTGTGCCCATAGACAACAAGGTAGTGTATGCCATTCTGGCGGGTATGATAAACCAACAGGATACGAAATCAATTGTGGTCCAACCGTAGATGTTGAAGCTAACAAAAGAAAGGGGAGAGAGAAGATTGAATGTGAGTGAATATCTTGCCTGATTTTTTTTTTTTACATAACATGCTATGCTATGTGTACAGTAGCTGCTATTCTTCTTGCAGCTACTGTACACGTAGCTTTCGCAGTGTACATGATAGCAGTCCAGCAGTCGAGTTTGAGCAAAACACATACGGCTTCGTGAAGACATGGCTTTCTCCGTGGCCATTCAAATTCAAACATTACGCACCCCACTACCACTCAATACCTATTAGCAGGTACGCACATTCAATGCAGGTCAATAATAAACACGCTCTCCACTGCCCCCTGGGTAATTATTTCCCTGATCTCATTAAAAGATGTTCAAAGTGAGGAGAGAAGATGAAAGGAGTGAGGAGTTAGGGTGAGAAAAAAACTTTTTTATTTTTATGACGAAGATTAAACACAGGAAATTTGATCAAAATTCTACAGAGGTTGGTAAAATCTGCCCAGGGTTTTGCTGCTCCCTACGAATCAGGACGTCTACACCCAAAGCTGGAGGAGAATGACTCAGACGATGCCCTTTGACCCCAGCCTCGGGCCTCTGGGAACGTCGGTACCAGAACCAGCCGGTTCAGATGAGTTCAGACTTCTGAACCGCACACTAAACTTCATTTCTACTTGTAAAAAGAAAAAGTATCTTCATTGTTGCTGCTTTTTCTGGTGCAATACTGATGCAATAATCTGCTGTGTTCTACATCAAGAACCACCGTCGACTCGTCCCTTTTAGCACAGTTTTTACACCAGAAGCTTTAATGCTCTATGATTTGACAACTATGTGGTATAGAACCCACAACCCTCTGTGTGGCAGCCATCAATGTAATGGCAACACCTGGAATCAATAATTTGAATTTCTCTTAGCGACTTGGCTCACGGTAGAAACGTGTATTCACTAAAGTTTTTAAAAATTTTTTTAACGTTTGTCTCTGTTTAATTGTGTTTATCTGAGGTTGATGACTTCACAGCTGGTCTCTGGATGTTGTTGTGTTGCCCAGTGGAGTAAATGACAATAAAAGTTTGCATCAATAAATCAGTTTATTAAAAGAATATGTTACAATTTATTACAGTAAGCGACAGAACCAGACGGTTCCACATCGGAGCATCTCAAAGGAAAAAGGAAAACTGCAGGTCGTCAGTTAGTCTCTTAACTCGCAAGGTCACCTTAGAAGCTGAAGCGTATCGGGAGGATTCAAGTGAAACTAACTCTTGTGTCTGACTGATATAAATAATGCAACGGACACACGACTTTGTTCAGAATGAGAGAGGGACGGAGGGAGGAAGGAGGGAGAGAGAGGAGGTGAGCCAGCGACCCTTGAAGGTGGTCGAATCAGACAAGGTGAAACGGCCGAGCCACTTCAGACGTGGTTCAATAAAGAGAGGAGAATCCTGTTGAACACTTTTTTCAGCCTCCAGGAGCGTTAGGACTCCTGGAGCTGGACATTCCATCTGTGAGAAACTCATCGATCTCCTTAAATGGCTTTCAAAGAACGGCAACATCGTCAGAACGAGCTCCGTCTAAATGTCCGTCTTTGACTCCCCACCTGCAAAACTCTCATTTTCTGGACCAATTTCTTTCTGCGCAATTGAGATTTAATGACATTTCTGTGATCACAAAGCAAGGATTTCATTTAGGCCTCTCTGACCTCGGTTTGTTTTTTTACTTTGGGGTTTTTTAATGAAAGGACATCGTGACCCCCCCACAACTACCCCTCCGTGACTAATCAGATTAAAACATATAATCCTTTGAACGCCCGAGTACGGACCCCGGGGGTCGGCTCAACAAGGCTCGGGGTGAATCAACAAATCATACGTTTTTCTTTTCTTTTCTTTGTTCCATCTTGCAAATCATATGTTTTTCTTTTCTTTTCTTTTCTTTGTTCCATCTTTGCAAGAACAGCGTGTAACACTCTGACCAATCACAGCACACGCCCATATTTGGCCCCCTCCACATAAACAAAGGTGAGGAGTGAAGATTTAGTATCAACATATTGACCTACGCAGCGCGAAGCGTCTTATTTATGACGTACTGTAACGCATGGCTGACGTCATCAGGTAATGAACCCAGCAGGGCACTAACCCAACACGGTTTTTTTACTCTCGCAGCGACGCAGGGCTCAGTTAAAGACGCAGCTCATTATCAGGTCACACTGCTGTTTATAAAGCCTTTAATGAATGTGTGCAGCGACACCTGCTGCTTCTTCCAGAAACAGTTAACAGTTCTGTTTTTAAAGGTCGTTTAAAGCAGCGGCCAGTTATAAATCCAGCGGGAGATTTCGGTAACAAACCCGTGGTAATCACTGCCAGGGCCGCAGACGGCAGGAGGAGAAGGACCCCTGCTGTTTGAATCTGAGTATTGCACCGTTTGGCAGCACGGACTCATCAAAGCTTTCATTTGCAAAGATGGGAAACAATACATTCTACAAATTTAACGCTCTGCTCTTTTAGATTTTTGATTAGAAACTCACTGTAAACAAAAAAATAACACGTTTCGTACTTCTGTATTATTTCCTCTTCCTGTTTTACTTCAGCTTAATAATTCTACTAATACTGTTTGATAAAGTGCGTGGTATTTCATTTCCAACATCTGAGCGTCTGTGTGTGTGTGTGATGTGATGAAGCTGGGACTTACGTCTGAGAGCCTCACTCTGATTGGTCCGTGCCTTCTCCAGTCCCTCTGCACCTACCGGTTGGAGAAGACACTGCGACTAAACATGAGTAAACACCAGTGTTGCTGATCAGCGTTGTCTGTTTCCCTGTATAAGCACTTAAAGGTTTCCCGTCCCCCCGTCAGTCCAACGGAACATTCTAGCACATCCCATTAGAGGATTTTCTCTGACTCTCAACCACATCCGCCTGGTGGTGTGTCTGGGGAGTGTCTCTAAGAGCCTCACTTCTGCTTTAGTGTGCATGAATATGGATGAATCAAGAGTTCCTGCTAATTGTTTTGTGTTTGTTTTTCTCTCTAATTTGAAGATGCCTCAGGTTGAAGTCGACACAGTGTGAATGATGATTGTACTTAGAGGAGCTGGGTGCTGCTGCGTGGAGGAAAACTGCGCGCGGCTAAGAGGTAACGATCTCCCTTCCTACGTGGCTCCATCCTTTCTGTGCCTCAGCAGCTGGAAAATGTTCTGTAACAGACACGAGAACAGCCGGTCAGGACGGCGAGCGGCGGCGGGGGGTGGAGGGGTGTGCGTTTATGGGGCGTAGACAGGACAGAGGCAGGCAGAGCCTTACCTTGCCACACATACCATCTTTACTGCAGTTCTTGTTGTCTTTGTCCGTCGCCTCCTCTTCCACCTGAGCAAAACACAGAGCAGAAGAGAGCTGTGAGAAGAACGAGGTTCTGACCAAGGAGAGCGGGTGAACGAGCAAACACGGGGTCGTTTACCTCTTTTCTCCACCTGAGCTCGCAGAACACTCTCTCGAAGCACTCGTGCATGTAGTTAAACTGGACGTAGTAAAAAAAAAAACAACCAAAAAACAGAAGACAAAATTTATTTGCAATATTAAAAAAAACACAACGAATCAGAATAAAAACCATTATAAAAACATTGAGTTCATTAACTATTTTAGTTTATTAGGGCCGTCATTCCAGTTGACGCGCTAAGTATTTATTACATGAATAAAAGAAATCAGTAAAAGTTACACAATGATCCCTACATCAGGGGTGTCAATCATATGGCCCGCGGGCCAAAACAGGCACGCTTGGGTGTTTGATTCGGCCCGCTAAACAAATTTTAAAAATAAAAAAATGCACAAATTATAATAAATACATATCTACTTGTACTCATTTGCATGAAAACAAAGGTAAAAAATTGACTTATTGTTATTTATGGTTAATTAGGTTATGAATGTACTGGTTCGACCCACTTGACATGTAATTAGGTTGCATGCCGTCTGTGAATCACCCCTGCCCTCCATGGTAAAAGTAATTTGACTTACCTTGGTTTTATTGCAGTAACATTAAAATCTCTAATACTGACACTTTAGTGTGAACAGTTCCAGGTACCGTTGTTTTCAGAATTATAATAGTACTCTATTCTATCAAAGACAAACTCACGTAAGGTGTGAAGATCTTGACCCAGCGCGGCTTCTTCTCTCCTCGTGCATATTCAAAACAGAAGGCCATGCCCTCCTCGTCCGTGTCCCACCTCTGCATCTCGCCCCAGTCAAACGCAATCACCTGGTTCTGCAACAACATTATGGATCGGTCACATCCACTCTACTTGACATGCACAATGTGTAAAGTGAAGTCAGATGCCCTTGCCTCCAGTGTCCCTTCCTCTGTGCAGGCGTGCAGCTTGAAGTGGTGAATGCTAATGGCCGTGATGACGTGGCCTTTGCGCCGGGAGTCGCAGGAGCAGTGCGGGAAGATGATCTCGTTGTAGCCCTCGCAGGCCCTGAGTAAACTCAGGTACTGAAGGAGACGCAGAAGAAACCGGGTCAAAAACACAGTCACTCTTGGAGCCAATCAGTAGAGGATGTTTTTTTTTTTTTTTTTGTAATTCAGCGTTGGCAATAAGAAAGAGCAAATACGTACATAAATACGTCAAAACGTTCTCAGACAAACGTGACAATTCCAAAGGCATTTTGATAATTAAAACGGGTTCAAATTGCAGCTGCGTCTGATTTTTTTTTTGCACAAAACTGCACATCGTTAATGATGTAAAATATGCAGCGCGGCTCAAAAGAAAGTTTTGCAAACACTGGTATTTTTATTAAGTTTCTAACCATCGACATCTTCTTCTGCTCTGCCAGTTTTTGGAGCTGGTACGACTGCTGCTCTGCGTTGATGAAACCCTTTTTCACATCATCCACCGCCTGTGAAGAACAAACAGATAAGATAACGAAGAAACACACACACAGACACACACACGTTAGATCTTTAAATAGACGCCTCAGGGAAATCTCACTCACCTGGTGGAAAAAAAAACTGGCTGCGAGCTGGTTGTCATTCAGTAAAACCTCCTCCTCTGTGGTGAAAAGCCACTTGCGCAGGGTGAGGCAGGTCCCTGGGATTGCTGAGGTATAATTCTGTACATAGAGTTTGTGGGGGAACTCATTGGGAGCCAGCTTTCGTACTGGAGAAAATAGGTCAAGGAAAAATAAGGGTGAGTGCAGGATGACACAGCTGAGCTCGCAAAAAAAAAAAAAAAAAAGATCTGGTACGAGTCGAACTTGGAGTCTATTTTCACCACAAATCTAACATCTTTAAATGTTTTATATATGACTTTTAGAGAAACATTATTCCTTAGATCAGGGGTGTCAAACACATTCTGGTTCTGGGGCCACATACAGCCTGATGAGACGGCAAAATTACCTATAAATAACAATTATAAGTATATTAGAAAAAATATTCATATTTAATACATTATAATATATTTAAAACAACACAAACAGGAAGTGGAAGTTTGTGATTTTTTTTTTTACATTCTTTCAAAATTTTACCAAGAGGGCCGGAATGAACAGCCTGATAGGCCAAAACTAAACCAACTTCAACACCAAGGTTAGATCACATTTTTATTTAAATCTACTTACTAATTAGAATATATATATTCTAGATATATATTCTAATAATTATTAGAATATATATCAATAATAATAAATATATAATATGATATTTTCAAGGTGGTACTCCAAACACTCACTGTCATAGTACATGTCTGGAGGAGGAGTATCAGTGTGACGCAGCCTCTGTCTGTTCATGTGTGTATGACCTGCTAAATATAAATACCTCTTATTAACTCATAAAACATGAAACAGAAATAGACTAAAGGGGGAACAGCCGTGGAGAGGCAACAGCGAGGGTGAGGGTGGGGGTGAGGGAGGGAGGGTGACCCAGTGAAAACACACAGTGACACATGTTGTGCTCTGAGGTTCGAACATGTCTGACCAGACAACTTGTCACAGATTTCTTCTTTCTGGGCTGTGGGGTTTTTTTTTTTATTTTCACTATCACTCACCAAAAGTGTGGTTAATGACCTCGAAGAGAGCGAAGTAGCTGGCGATGACACTGTCCATGCCCAACTTCATGACCACCGCCTGCCACAGAGACCGAGTCAGTTCACAGTTCACCTTCAAACAGACCTGTTCTAGTTAAAACCCCAGCAGAACCTTCTCACCTGATAGACCTGGTCTGTAGTGGAGTTCTTACACACTCTGACGGTCAGTGTGGTTTTATCCGGCATGGCTATTCTCAACTCCACATCCGTCACACCGTTGTAGTTCTAGATCACCAGGGGAACGGAGAACAGGCAGCGTCAGTCGGAGTCAGAGCCCCACCCAACAACACCACACGGAGAAAAATACTATCTGACCTCATCTGATTCAGACAGGAACTCCTGCATGATGTCACTTTCTCCAATGACCCGGACGGAGCAAACTGCAGAAGAAAGAGAAGAACAAATACAATTTGGGAATTTTCTGGAGTCGTCCCCATACTAACAGCGACTTCAAAATGTTTTAAAATCTCCCAGAATCTGAAGTGAGCAAACAAGAAAATACTTGTTATGAATTATTTGTTTGGATGTTTTTTGCTGAGTCCAGAGTGTGAGAAGCCTGGGCCTGTTCAGTTGAACACAACCTTGATATACTTGCAGGAATTGATGAAAGACAAAATATATATATTTAACATTTTATAGCCATCTGCTGCCACCTACTGGAAGAATATTTGATTGTACTGCTGGTCACTGTTTGTAAAGTAAATAAATATATTTTCAGACAAACTAAATGAAATTTAACAGCAGTAAAGTGCCACGGCACAGTTGTTGGGAATCACTGCCAGAATTCAAACCAACAACTCCTCAGATTATAAGCCTATAAATATATATTTGTTAATGTTAACTGTAAACATTTTCCCTTTGTTATTTCATAGTGCTTTTTTCTGTTACTTTGTTTTTTTTAATATCCTGAAAGGACTTTTTCTTCACCTTTTTCCAGATACTCTTCCAGGCCCCTTCGTCGTGCATCCAGCTGCTGCTCCGACAGGGAGAACGGCCATTTTCCTGGCAGCTTGGGAAAAGCGAAGCTGGCAAACTCCCGTTTGAGGTTTTGGTGCAGAATCACAAACTCCCTGTAACGCTTGGAGCAGAGCTGCCTCCCTGCCATGTACACATTATACACCTGTAGGAACAGGGTGGGGGGCGGGGGGGCAGAGGGTGTTGACATGGCTGATGATGGATGCCCTTTTACCAACAACACTACACAGTGAAGAAGTCATAAAAAAACTCACTCACCACAAACTTTTCCTGGTTGAGTTCCGTGTGTTTGTAGCTGGGCACGGAGATGGGGACGGCCTGTTTGTCGGAGTAATCGTAGCAGGACTGAGCTGAACCGTCGTCGCCGGGATCCAAGAAGTCGGCCTCCTGAGGCTGGACGGGCAGCACGGCTAACACCAGCTCCCTCTCCCCGGCCCGGATCAGATCCACCACCTGCTTATGTGTCGCCCCCTCCACGTTCACGCCGTTACTGGCAAAAAAAAAAAAAAATCAAAGTAGTGGAACAGTTAGATTTACATGAACAATAACATATTTGTTAGTTTTTATTAAAGACATTTTTTATATTTTTTCTTACTGTATTATACAATTAAATTATCTTTGAGTTCAATACAGTACAGTAACTTTATTATCTGATCTTCCCTTATGGCGGCACTTCTCAAATAAATACATTCATTGAGTTTATTCATCAGAAGAAGAGCAGGCAAAAAAGAAGACACTCTTCTACAACCAGAGGTTACTAGGCATTAAAAAATAGCAGCAGTGTGTAAATGTAAATTAGTTATTGATTTTACTGAGCCAGCAATACAATCTGTGTGGCCCGTGTACTACGGTGTAGACATAGAGTAGAGCAGACGGAGAGTCCATTCACCAAAGTCAGATCTACACTAGAAACTACTGCAGATACACAATAAAATCAAAACTTTAATTAATTGATTATAACTATGATTCAACTCCAATTACTTAAAAAAAATCAAACAGTTTTAGTGATTATATTTAGTCAGAGTCAATAGGTCCAAAATATGGAACTTGTATGTAATCGTTACTTAAAAAAAATCAAAACAGTTTTAGTGATTATATTTAGACTATATATATAATGAACTTTTTTTCTTTACGGAAAAAAATTCCCAAAACTCAAAAATAAAAAGCTTAAAAATAAATATAAATATAATATAAATGCTGTATTTATGTTTATTTATTTTTCGGTGACACTGGTGCTCATCCAGTTTTTGACACATCTAAGTGTCAAAGATCATGATGTCATGAGTGACAGCTCAAATCATATACAGAACAGTTTCCTGTAAAGACAGACTTCACTCAAATGACATCAATAATGTAAACAACAGTAACGTGACGACTTCCACCAAACCCTCTGTTAAACTGACCGTACAGTGCATCAGCGGTCGGTCCCACAGCCTTACAGGGAGGTCAGTGTCAGGTGGGCTGTTTATATTTAGATGTTTTCACGTTTTGGATTCTGTGAAATGCTTTTATTTTCTATTTGCAGTCTTTAACAATGGGGTCAAGAAACTGCCAGGTTACTGCAAACCATCCATTAACTGTGCAGGAGCGTGCAGATGCCAGCCAATGAGAGGGAGGACGGAACCGGGAGGGAGAGCCAATCAGGAACTCACAAAACACATGCCTCCCCTCTCTCTGCATCACTCACTTCCACACACACACACACACACAGCATCAGCCAGCCTTCTGTATGAACACCGAGCTGCCAGTGAGGAGCATGAATGCAACAGATAGATGTGGAAAAATATTTGACTTTTTCTACAGAAACACGAGGTCAAATCACAGCCAGATTAGAGATCAGGGAAAGTCATGTTGTTGTTGTTTTTTTTTTTTAACTCCATTAAAGCAAAACAGAGCTTTAAAGATGCTCCACAGTACCCACACCGGCCACTAGGTTAGAACAGTATCAATGAGTTGCAGGGATTTCTACAGAATATCTGTTCCGGGCTGCTGCTGTGGACCGGAGACATAGGTTCCGGTGTGAAGGGGAATTTCTAATGATCCAGGAAAGTTCTCCCTCTGTGTCACACACACACACATACACACACACACACAGAGCCTCCTTTCATCAGGAGGAGCAGCTGTTCTGTCCTACTGCAGGAGGAGGAGGA